GTCCCTGTCCTCAAGGAAATTATATTGTAATGGGAACGGGGGGACATATATAGGGGTCTAGTGGCCAAAGAGGAGTGTTTTGACTAGGGCAATCACAGGGTTGGTGAAAAGAATCATAGCGCAATTGATAGAAACTATACTAATGCCATATTTATTATATATCTTAATTTAGACAACATTTTTTCATACTACAATTAAGTAGTTTAGGCATTATACTATAAATTACTTTGTAAATTCATTAAAATTCATTAAATTTATTCATTAAAATTCATTAATTCATTAAAATATGAGAAATAGGATATTCTGCTGTAAAATCTCTTCATAAAAAGTAGTGAGAAATAAAGTAACTTATACTAAGAAAAAACAGACCTTTGAATAGGGAATAAAAAAGAACATGGTTGTGCATTCACCAACACAATTGTATTTTTTTTTCAAGAAAAATAAAGTAAATTAAGTTGAGAACTCATCATCTACCTGTACCAAACTGAACCAGGAAGATTAATTTCTCTGGTGAATACCCACGTCAAAATGAACACAAATATTTACCCAGATGCATTTGAAAAGGGAAAGGATATGCCTTCCATGTGTATGTTGCCAATGTTTTCCAAAGAGATGAGCCTCCACAATCTGACGATGATGATCACTATTAAGGTTGTTAAATGAGTTGGCATTTACCTGCCTTTACACATTAATATCAATGTATGGCTTGGTATAAATTTTGCAACCATACACACAAGCATATGTCTGAAAGAAATGGAGAAATCTGACAGTAAGAACTTTTTATTTTTATTTGTTTTCTTTCTAAACTTGAAAAATGTCAAATAAAATTAACATTTCCATATATAGACTAGAGCAGATAAAGCTTGTTTTCTTTAAGTATATAACAAATTTAATATGTTACTTTCAAAGTTGCCTTACTTGTCTGTATTTCCTTCTAAACTTCCTTTTGTTTGTTTCTGTGTAGCTAAATATATGTTTATATAAAATATATGCATATACATGTATGTATTTCAATGACTTTCATTTATCTATTCTTTTTTTTTGACAGTATCATTGCTACCTTCTACTCCCTGAATTCTTTTTATCAGATTTTTTTAAAAAGCAAAGAAAAAATAAAAACTTTTACCAAATAATCAGACTCAAGGAAAACAAATCCACACTTTAGTCACAACAAAAAATGTGTGTCACTCTGTACCTTGAGACTATCAGTTTGGAATTATAACCAAAAAGAGTTTAGATGAAGCAGAATTTTTCTCTAATTTCTTATCTTAACTCTGTCTGAATCTTTGTTTCAAGTATATTTCTTGTAAACAAGATTGTTAAATTGTTTTCGAATCTATTCTATCTTCTTTTGTTTTATAAGTGATTTCAATCCATTAATATAATTGTTCATTGTTTATTTTCCTTCATCTAGTCCTCTTATGTTTTTTCCTCTCTTTTCTCCCTGCTCCCTCTTTACAAAGAAGAGGATAATGAGAAAGAAGGAATATACTAAATATACTGCATTTAATTTGTTTTTGCTTTGTTTCCATTCTTCTCTTCCTCTCAACCACATACAGGTTCTTACACACTAGTTCTTTACTTTTAAACCCCTTTTCACAACTCAAACTCTGCAGTTAGAGTTCATTCTGCTTGTAATTAATCCCTTCTGGAACCTACCCTCCATCTTAATAAATTCTCTCCCTGTAATCTCCTGTTTTGCTACTGAGTTTCATGTGTTTGTGTGTATGTATGTGCATGTATGTTTTCCTCTCCTTTGACCACTTCAGATGGAAATGAGGTTCAAATGATACCAACTCCCTTATCTCTTCCTTTCCTTGTATAATTTTCTATTGCTGAACCCTAATTATATGAGATAATATTTCTCCACACTCTCTCCTCTTCTTGTTCTTAGTGTATTCCTTCTTCCTTCTCTTTCCTTCTTCTTTTAAGATAATGAAAAAGAATGACAAAACCATTATTTAATCCCTTTTATGACTCCTGATGACCCTAGGATTTTGAAGGGAAGCATGTATCTTCTACCCCTATTATAATACAAACATTTCATCTTTGAATAATTTTTATTAAATGTTAACTCATATTTACCTTTTTATGTTTCTCTTAACTCTTTTATATTTCAAAGGTTCCAATTGGTTCTGGTCTTTTCATCAGGAATACTGGGAAGTCCCTATTTCATTTAAAATTAATTTGTTTCCCATGTAGAATAACACTCAGTTTTGTTGGTTAAGTTATTTTTGATTAAAAACCTATATCTTTTGCCTTTTGGTGTATTGTTTTCTAAGTTCCTTGCTTCTTTTAAGAAAACAGTTGCTGATCTTGTGTGATCCTGACTGGTTCCTTGATACTTAAACTTTTCTTCTTTCCAGCTGCATTCTCTTCAACCTGAAAGCTCTAGATTTTGGCTATAACATTCCTAGGAATTTTCTTTCTTTTTCTTTTTCTTTTCTTTTCTTTTTTTTAGCATGTAACTGGTGAATTCTTTATGTTTTCATTTTGCCTTTTGGTTCTAATAATTCAGCAAATTTTATTCATGACATTTTAAAATATGATGTTTAGGCTCTCTGTATCTCTCACTCACTCTTTTTGTCAGTCTGTGTCTCTCTTGGTCTGTCTGTCTCTTTTTGTCTTCTCTGTCACTGTCTCTGTGTCTCTGTGTCTCTGTCTCTCTCAGTCTCTCTGCCTCTGTCTCTCTTTGTCTCTCTGTCTCTGTCTCTCTGTTACTCTGTCTCTCTTTGTCTCTTTATCTGTCATGATGGCTTTCAGGTGATAATGATTCTTAAATTACCTCTTCATAATCCATTCTTTAGGGCAGCTTTTTTTTGGGGGGGAGGGGGGATGAGATTGTAATTTCTTCTACTTTTTCACTCTTTTTATTTCATTTTACTATTTCTTGTTTTCTCAAGAGTCGTTAATTTATATTTGGTCCATTCTAATTTTCAAAGAATCTATCCCTTGGGTAAGGACTTACTATTAAAAAAAAATCGTTGAGAAAACTGGACAGTGGACTGACAGAGACTAGCTTTAGACCAACACCAAGATTAGCTCTAAATGGATGCATGGACTTAGATTATCAAAGGCCATATCATGAACAAGTTAGAGGAGCAAAGGAAGAAATTTCCTTTCAGGTTTGTGGATAGGGTAAGAATTCTTGATCAACTAAGGGATAAAGATAAAATGGACAATTTTCATGACATAACAATAGCTAGCATTTTTTTAGGTTTGCAAATTACAAATATTATCTCATTTAATTTTCACAGTAATCCTGTAAGATAGGCATTATTATTATTATTCCCAGTTTACAGATAAGGAAACAGACTGAGGGATAAAGAGATTTGTCTAGGGACACATTGCTAATAAACTAGTCTCCTATTTGAGGAAGGATTTAAACCTAGGTATTCCTGACTCTAAGTCCCAAGACTCTATCAACTTCAACACTTAGTTGCCTAATTTGCATTTAAAATTTTTTGTTCAAACGCAACCAATGCAGTTAAGATTAGAAAGGAAAAAGTTACTGGGGGAAAAATCTTCACAGCAAATTTTGCTGATAAAGATTCCATTTTCAAAATAGATAAAGAATTCATTCAAATTTATAAGAATGATAGCTATTCCCCAGTTATTAAATGGTCGAAGGAAAGGTGCAATTTTCAATTTAGGAAATCTAAGCTACATATAGCCACGGAGGGTGGGAAATGCTCCAAATCATTAATAATTAGAGAGATGAAAATTAAAGCAATTCTGCAATTCCACCTCAAACCCATAAGATTAGCAATGACAATAAAAGAAGGAAAATGTCAAATGTTGGAGGCAACATGGGAAAACAGGCAGATTAATGCAATGGTTGCAAAGCTGTAAATCGGTTCAAGTACTGTGCAAAGCAATTTGGGACTATTACCCAAAAGTCACCAAACTATACTTACCTTTTTTTTTCCAACAGTACCCCCTTTTGGCTTATACCTCAAACACATCAAAGAAAACAGAAAAGGACCCATATGTGTGAAAGATATTTGTAACAGTTGCTTTTGTAGAAGCAAAGAAATGGAAACCAAGAGTGTGCCAATCAACTGGGGAATGGCTGAGCAAATTATAACATATCTATGTATTTTGCGGTGAGAAATAACAGAAGAGAAAGATTCAGAGAAACCTGAGAAGTTTGTGTAGTTGATATTGCATAAAAGAAGCAAATCCAAGAGAACAAGTTATATAATCAACAACAACACTGTGAAAGGGAAAAAATTGAAAGGCTTCAGAACTATGATCAGTTCAATTGTCTATCATAATTCCAAAGGACTGAGGATGATCCTTGCTATATATCTCCTGATAGAAAGGTGATAGATTAAAGATACAGAGTGACACATACATTTTTTTGACATGGTCAATGAGGGAATTTGTTCTGTTTGACTATGATATTTGTTACAAGGGTTTTGTTTCTCTCTCCATTCCCACCCAAGAAAATAAATGCTTGTGAATGGGGCGGGTAATGAATTGAAAAAAATAATTAGCAGCCTCATTCTCAGACTTTACTTTTTATGATGCAATTTTTTTTATTATTGTCAAATATCATAAGACCACTCTTATACTTGCCCAGCTAAGGATGTCAGGTTTGAAAGAAGTACCTATTTGTTCAAGAGGACAGTCCACTTTGAGAAAATACAAAAGGCCCTGGTAAGAAAGCTAGAGACCTAACAACCACTAACTCCATTCCTAACCACCTCTTTGCTAACTACATGCTTTGTCTCTCTTCATAGGCATAAATACCACCCAAGAGGCTGACATATCCATTTCGTAGTTATAGAGAGGTGGAGAAGAGGTAGCTTTTCAACATTTTTTCTGTAAGGATCCAAGATTTCTAGCCATAACACTGAACATTATAATCAACTGTTGGAAAGGTGATGAACCAGAGCAAAGGAAGTTAATAAGAAACTTCTAAGTGGACTCAGCCATTATATGTGATTCCAGGAATGGGACAATCCTAAGGGAAAATCTTCATGTGGCCTAGTCAGCTGTGACAAGCCTAAAAAAGAGGAGAATAACTCATCCTATCAGTGAGACCAAGAAGTAAGGATTTATATAGCATGGTGCCTAGAACACGAAAGCTGTAGGAGGGTAAATGAGCAGTTATAAAAATCAGCCCTGGACTTACCCATAATTAGAAAGAAATCAGGATTGACCTAAAGGAATCTGAGCAGTAGGTTAAATGAAAAACAAGTGAAAAGTCTCAAAGAAATATAATATACTATAATCTTCCTTTCATCATTTGATGTGATTTTAATCACAATATGTCCTGAATGAGAAGGGAAGAATTCTGAGTACATTCAAGCAGATATTAACATCTTTCTTTATTATATAAGTACCAGGAAAAAGAAGGGAAATGATTAGGGATGTCATTAGTAAAATACAGTGGTTCTAATGCCAGTCTCATCAAGTTCAGCTTTCTCAATCATATAGCCAAACACCTTTCCAATCTAGCTTACTTTACCTATCCAACTTGATTTTCCACTATTTCCTATACAGACCTTCTATTCCAGCTAGGAATACTTGCTTCACTTATTCACTGCCCTCTGTCTTCACCTGGAATGCTCTCCATCCCTCAAACCCAGTTCATGTCTTTCCTCTTCCATGATTCCTCCCAGCTTACAATCTCTCTATTCTGGGAATCTTCCTAGCACTTACTATATGTGGAAAGGAATGAAGGCAAATGTTTCGTCACTGGAATATACTTTCTTGTTTTGGTCTCCAGTTGTTTCATGTGGGTAAATGTCTTCTCTCCAACAAGATTGTAAGTTCCTTAATAGGACAATATCATGGTCTTCTTTTGAGTCTCCCACACTGGGCTCTGTGATTTTTTTCTTACTTTTTTTTAAGGCAATTGGGGTTAAGTGATTTGCCCAGGGTCACACAGCTAGTAAATATCAAGTGTTTGGTCTGAGGCCATATTTGAACTCAGGTCCTCCTGACTTCAGGGCTGGTGCTCTATCCACTGCACCACCTAGCTGCCCCTCTTACATTTTTAAAACTGTATTTTAACAAAACTGGTTTCCTTTGTAATCACATATATTTTATTTTATTCATTTAAAAACATCATTCTGAGGAGATGTCCATAGACTTCACCAAACTGCTAATGGGGTCTGTGATACAGAAAAGGTTAAGAACCCCTCATATAACATAATGCTAAGCACACAGTATGGGGCTCAGCAAAGGCTTATTGAATCCAATTGAACTGTCAAAAGCAATTTTTAGATATCCATTCAAAAATGACAATGTTATAAGTATTGTGCAAAGTGAGTTAAGCGAGCATAATCTTCACCTTCTGAGAGGTTATGTTCATAGCTAGTACTGCCAATGAGAGGCAGCTTGGTGTAATGAATAGGGGTCCAGCTCCAGAGTTAGGAAAACCTGGGTTCAAACCCTGTACCTTATACAGAGTGGCCATGTGACTTTTGGCAAGTCACTTAAGCAATCAGTACACCCTGATCATTCTCTAAGACTGTTAAATGGTAGGAGTTGCCAATCCAAATTGGTAAAGGAGATTTATGTATGGAAGAAACTAACAGCTCTGGATCAAAATCACTACAAGCAGACTTCCTCTGTCAGATATTTAAAGAAAAATCATTTCCCACCCTAGTTTAGGTAGGGAAAGAGAGAGTAAAGAAGTCTTTTCAACTACCATCCCCCTAAAATTCAATTTAGACTAGTGAACAGAAGTTTGGATTGATGCTGACGAGCTGAGTTCCTCCATTCTGAATTCTAACAATGGGTGGCCTTGTTTCTATTTGCGTCATGCAACTTGACAGATGTTATTTTATTTTATTTTTTAAAGACACTCTTTAAGAAAGTTGAAATTTGCAAAAATGACTTCTAAATTTTTATTAATCTGTGACCTTTTCAAATGTTATGAGAAGTTCCACTGTTCTGTGGTACACACTGATATCTTGTTTAATTTCTAACATTATGGATCAATTGCAGAGAATTTATGATTATCTTTGAAATATTTTCCTTTAAACTCAACAGTACATTGCAAAACACTTGAAAAGTATAGCTGGAACCAGATATAATATTTGCAGTAGCTTCATTTATTTTTCTAAAGCACAGCTTTGAGAAGATTATAATAATGTCATTTTTCTGCTCAAGAATCCTCAATGGCTCCACACTACCTCCTGGATAAAATTCAGACTGTTTAGGCTAGCATTCAGGTGCTTTTCTCTGATCTGGCCCCAGTTCTTCCTTGAATTATAGTTGTGTGCATTTATAAAATCTTTATATTTCCTGCCATCTCAGAGTAGTATCTGGCATATAGAAGGGTGCAAAAAATTGCTTGAATTAAAATGGGCTTCAATTCACATTGAAGTATAAATAACTGATAAAAAAAAAAGAAATCAGATATCTGGAGAGCAAGATTTAAAAGAATGGGAGATTGAGAAAAAGAAAGTTGAAGAACATTGCAAATCTGAAAAAAAACCTTAATTTTAAGTTGCATGTAATTCTTTTGATTAGATTAGATTTTTAATAAAAAGAATCACCTTTCTTTACTCTATTTGCTATTCTTTTATTTAGTAGAAAAGTGATAGAAGACTATCTTTGTCAAAGCTTTAGCTACTAGACCATCACTCTCTCGTATGGAAAGATCAAATAACAGGCACTTCCTTCTAAAGGAAAACATTACGTGAAATGTTGTTCTGTGAGTCTCTGACCTTTCTTTCTCAATTGCTCCTGATCTGCAACTCGTCTTTTAAAATGAGAAGTTAAAAATAATAGCACCACTGCTTTTACCACAGGTACTTCTGTTATATTTCATCTAACTGTTTACAAATGTTTTTTCTAAGTTGGCCTGCATCGCAATTTCAGTATTGTACATTTTCACATCTTCTCCTAAAGGTAAGCTTCATTTCCCCTTATTGATAGTACTCAATTCCACAACAGTTCAATGTCCCTGGGAAACAAAAAACAAAAGACAAAAACAAAAACAAAACAACAGAGGCATAACCATAAAGCAAGTGACTTCCAATGCACTAGTTTCCTTATCTCGTTATCCATCTCGATGTTGTAATAGTGTTCCTTTCACAGATAACTTGTTTCTCTATACAGAAAGAGCTGAAGTTATTCAATAGCAAGATGAAAAATAAATTAAATAAAATAAAAGTAAGTCTAGCAAATATAGTCATACTTTCTAGAGAGATTGTGTCCTTGACTTCTATCTATACAATGATGAGAGTTTCGAGCAGCAAAACAATTGATAAATGTTAGGGAAGAAGAGTCAGAAACTGAGAGCTCAGATCCCACCTTAGGAGATAAGGCCCTTGATAATGATCAAGACTGGCCCTGAAAAGAGATCAGAAACTGTGCTTCCCTCCATCTTTATAGAGGTGGGGGATGATGGGTGTGAAACACTATACATACTGTCAGACATGATTGATATGTTGGTTAATTTTGTTGAACTGTTCTTTTTTCTATCTTTCTTTTTTGATCTTTTTTGTAACAGGTGGCTAATTGGGTAGGGGAAAAGAGGAATTTATTCAAAACTGAAGGTGATATAAAGAAAAGAGATACAATTTTCTAAATGAAACAAAGAGATAACGGCTCTTTGTTTGACACCCAGTCTACTAATTGGTTTGCTGGTTTGACTGAATATTCATTTATTGCTAATTGTGTAGATATGCAAAAAACATGCCTATAGGAGCTAGAGCCAGATGGGGCTCTAAGAACATTTGATTCAGGGAGTCTTAACCCAGGGATCTGTGAACTTTTAAAAAAAAATACAGTATACTTTATTTCAGTATAATTAATTTCCTTTCTAATTCTACATATTTTATTTTATGTATTCAAAAAACATTCTGAAAAAAAGATCCATAGGCTTCACCAGACTGCCAAAGGGGTGCATGACAAAAAAAAAAAGGTAAAAAACTACTGATCTAATCCAACTTCTTCATTTTTACAGATAAGGAAATGGAGATCCAAACCTGTGAGGTGATTTATTCAAGGCCACAGAAGCATCCAGTAACAGAGCAGGGATTTAAACCCAGACTGCAATTCCAGTTCCTTTTCCACTATATCCCAGATCCTGTTCTTGAGATGCTACAGATGACCCCAAAAGCTATTCTCTTTTTTTCTTTATCAAGTTACACAGCAGAGGCTAAAGGAAGAATGAGATATAATGACTGTCCAATTTTAGTGAATAAATGAGCATGTGTCATTGCTCTAAGCCATTCATCTTGAGGAGGTGAGGCTTTAAGGTGAGTCATAAAGAAGAAAAGGGAAATTGCTTAGCTGAAAAGGTGATTGTCCCACTAGAAAAGATTGCAGGAAGGGAAGTTGGCACAAGAATGAAAGAAGGGAACAAAGAAGTCCAAGGTAAAAGGGAACCAGAGTTAGAGAGAACCAATCTGATACAAAGTCTTATTCTCAAACATTTTAAGTTTTATAATACCTACCCTAGATCTCCTCCTTCTCAGTGGTGAACACTTTTGGCAAACATTCATTTTCCTATCTTATTCCTTTCTTGATGATAATCAGAGGATCATTAAACAGGACTATTTTTGTTACCATATCTCAAGGAACTTCAAATGATTTTGATGTATGAAGAGCAGACACCTTGTTGGAAAAGAGTTCTATGGAATGAATGCTTTTTAATATTCAACCAAAAATAAATACAGTGAGATCTTATATTCTTTATTTCTTTCAGTGCAAAACAGAGTCCAAACTGAAGAGGGATTCTCAATGGATGGAAAGTTCTTGCAGATGCTCTTCTTTGAGGATGATGTTATAGCTGCCTCATCAAACCCTAGGACATTTCAGAACCAACTAGAAAAGACCCAGAACCAATGAAAGGAGTGTGGTCTGACTATCCACACAGGAAAGACCAACTGGATGAAAGATGTTTACTGCCCAGATGTCTACATGCAATTGGATAAAAAACCTGCAAGAGCTTGTCCATCAGTATATATATATATATAAAATAAAAATATATATATATATATATATATATATATATATAAAAAATATATATCTAGGACAAACAGTACAAATATACAATGAATGGGCCCAGAAATGAACAACAGAAGAGTAGGCTGAATTGGCTTCAAGAAATTACAAAAAAACAAATTAACCCCAAGCTTCTCCCAGAAACAAAGGCCTTTTAAAAAAAATCAGTATAACAGTGCTATCATATGACTGTGAGATATGGAACACCACAGCCTCAAAAGGATTGAAAATGGTTTTCAAAAGGCAATGAGAAGGCACATATAGCTTAAGGAAGAACTTCAGAGAAGAGTAATAAAAGATGCCATAAAAGAAATGTATAATTGGAAGAGAAGTTTGGCTGGTCACAAGAAGAGGTGAGATAACACAATGGATAGCTTTAGTGCTACATTGGTATCCTTGTAATATGTGTTATTGGAGGGAACATACAAGTTAATGAGAGCACAAGACCATTTGAGCAATGTTTTTAAGGCAAATGACACCAAAATCAGTCAAAATTGATCATTTTCTAATCCTCAAGTATTCAAAAGGATTTGTGAGCTTATGATTGTGCAAGTTCCTATAAAAAGGAGACTCATACCTGTCCATCCTTTGGAACTCTTATCCATGTCCTTCCATTAGTAAGAGAGTCCCCAAAGTGCTGGAAGCATTCTTCACTTGAATTAATAAATGGAAAAAAAAAAAACATTTGTTAAGCTCTTAGTGTGTGTCAAGTACTGTGCTAAGTGTTGGAAATACAAAAACAAAATACAAGTTGCATCCTTGCAGAGGTCTTAGCCTATACTCTCTTTCCCTATAAGTTAGAAATATTGCTAGTTGAGTAACCAACACAAATAATCACTTAAACTTTAAGTCTTCCAGTCTAAGACTCTATATTACAGCCTGAATCTCAAATAAATCAATTTTCACACCTGGATGTTTCCATAGTCAAGAAAAATATTCAAATGCTAACTTTTTGCTAATCCTCCATTATAATATAAGCTTCTTGTAAACAGGGATCATTTTATTGATTGTATTTGTATCTCCATTGCCTAGTACAGTGGATGGAACATAGTAGGTGCTTAATAAATGCTTGCTGATTGATTAATTGATGATCAAATGTATTCCTGAAGCAAATAAATTAATGTGATATACATATTTTTACAAAAACTACTGCTGTTTTCCTATAAAAGCAATATGAACTAAACAATAGCTAAATGCCCTTTCCTCCTCTTTGTCAGAAGTCAGGCAACATAAAAATGTAGGTGAGGATACTTGGATGTGCTATCCCAGGTCAGCTAGTATTTATCATCACAACATTTGACAAGTCATTACACTTTGAATTGTAGTTCTTTCTCTACCAACTAAGAACCTAACGTTACTTCTCCCTCTGAGACTCTTAACTTTTCAGTCTGCTCAACAAATATATCGTACCATCTGGGAGAAGGAAAAGTCTTATCCAGTAGGAAGTCATTCTGGGGAGCAGCTAAGTGACCTAGTAGAGAGAGTAATAGACATGGAGGCAAGAAGACAAGTTCAAATCCTACCTCAGACTGTCATTACCTGTATGATCCTGGGCCAGTTATTTAATCTCTCAGCTTCAGTTTCTTCATCTATAAAATGGGAATGATAATAGCACCCACATTAGCGAGTTATTATAACAATCAAATAAAATGCTATTTGTTAAATGCCTTGTGAATTTTAAAGTACTGTATAAATGCTACCCTTTACTATTATTTTTTTATTTCCCAAGATAAAATTTCCAAACGTTTAGCTCTTCTTTCTAAGATTTGCCACTCCCCTCTCTGATCTGTATTTTATTTTTTTATAAAGGGCTTCATTGTTCTTCTACCTAATTTCTCAACTCAATTCAATTATCATTTATTAACTGCCTAATACTTGTCAGGTGTTGTGCTGGGACCTGGGGATTACAAGAAAAACATAAAACAGTAGCTACCTTCAAGGAACTAACCTTCTCCTAGGGATACAATATGTACACAGAGAAGTGAGAAAATTCAAAGCAAATGAGGAGGGAGACTCTACTTAAACTGCTTGGTTTCCAGGAGCAAGTGTCACTTGCACTGAGCCTTGTTGAAAGAAGTTAAGACATCTAAAATATAGACCTGAGGAAGGCAGGCACTCTAGGAACACTGACAGCTTATGGTTGGGAAAGCACCAAACTAAGAGGTTTCTTTAGCATAAAATTCTCTTTCGTTCAATCAAAATGGCATGAGCTTGTCATGTGATATTGAAAGCTGAGTTTAATGTAACAGCCAACATCTTATTGATAGGACTATGGCCATTGATAGCCACCTCACTGAGACAGATAGAATAGCTCCTCTGGCCTAGAAATCTCAAGCTGGGACATTTAAATGAAACAAAAACATTCCTATTTTCCCTCCTGTATATATTCTGAGAACCAGAAGAAGACTTCATTTCGATGGGCTGAGAGCCAAGGCTTTTTCAAGAACTAATCAAATTCACTCAAGGAAAGAAAAATGGATATCCCATGAAGCCTTCAGGCTTCAAGGATGGGTAATGTCAGGTTATTTCAGAATGGCCAATAAATATTACCTTGAAAAGGCAGCGTTGACATAATGGAAAGAGAGCAAACCTCGGAATCAGAAAGAACTGGGTTCAAGTTCTGCCTCTGACACATACTGACTAGGTGTCCCTGGGCAAGTCACTGAAACTTTCAGTGCTCTGGGCAGCTCTTTAAGACTGTAAAATACATTTCATTGCTTCTCTCACCAGGAATTTCACATACCAGTGAAATTAAATGTCCATTCCCTATAGATATCAATGAGATAAATATTACCTTCATTTGAAACTTCCTCTTACAGAAAAGCAACATGATTGAAAAAATGTCTTATTCAATGGTTCTTTCACAGACCTTTGGTTCTAGTCCTCTGTTATTAAATTTTAAGTCAGCCACTCCGCTTTCCCTTTCCAATGTCAACAACTATTAAGTGGGAATCATACTACAGATTCTGAACACCTACTAATTCACAGCACTGTCAAGAGACTCAACCAAGGTCCAAGATCACTCTTATAAAAATATAAATAGTGATGAGTGCAAGAAGGCTTGGAAGAAGAAAGAGGTGATAAATAAATAAATTATAAATTATAAATAATAAAATAAATTACCCAGGCTTTTTCTTTGGCCAGGGGATTTGTCAACCACCATTCATTTAGCACTTACTGCTAGTAATAATAATTACAGCTGACATTTATATAACATTTACTATATCCCAAGCACTATACTAAGTGCTTTACAATTATAACCTCATTTGATCCTCATAACAACCCTACAAGGTAGGTGCTATTATTATCCCCATTTTACAGATGAGGTAGCTGAGGCAGACTGAGGTTAAATGACTTGCCCAGGTCACATAGTGACTGTGGCCAGTTTTTAACTCATCTTCCTTACTCCAAGCTGAGCAGTCTATCCACTGAGACATGTCGTACTATTCTCTGGGAGAAGAAAAGAAAGGTAAAACCATGGTTCCTACTCTCAAGGAGCTCACATTATAATTGGGAAGACTTCCTTGGCTTTTTGCTTCCAACTAAAGCTCAAGTTAGACTTGAAGGTATTTTTTTTTTTTTTGCAGATGTTCCCTTTTTTCTTTGTTGATCCAATAGAATGTAAGCCCCTTGAGAAAGAGAATTAACAGCTAAGGCAGCAGTTCTGCAGATCCTAAGACTCTTTTGAAGGTCCTTAAGGTAAAAACTATTTTTATAATAATATTAGGATGTTATTTGCATGTTAAAACACTCTTCTCTTTCCCAAACTACGTATCTGTGTGAAGACCAGATTTTGTTCATATACTTCAACAAAAATAAAATATTGCAATAGATTGAATACAGAAGCAGGTATGAGAATCTAGCTGTCTTCTATTAAGCCAGAAATTAAAGAGATTTGCAAAAATATATGAAATAATTCAACTCATTTCACTATTTTTTTGCTTTGGAAAATATACTTATTTTCATTAAAATATGTCATTTATATCAATATGGTTTATTTGTAAATGAGTAAACATTTACAAATTTATGTTTTAATTTTGCATATGATAAATATAGTCAGATATAACCCACATAAACAAAAATTCTTTGGGCTTCTCAGTCATTTTAGAGAATGTAATGGAGTACTGAAACCAAAAAGCTTGAAAACTGCTGAGCTAGGGAAATAAGGAAGGCCTCTTAAAAGAAGTAATATTTGAACTGAGCCTGAAAGGGACATCAGAAGCTCCAAGGGACAGAGATGAGAAGAAGAAAGATTACATTGTGGGGGGCAATCTATGAAAAGGCAGAGAAGAAAGAGATGGAAGGTTGTGTATTGAGTACAGCAAATAAGACAGATTGTCTAGACCATAGAGTAAGTAGTGGGGAATAATGTACCAAATCTGGAAAGATACATTGGATCCAGATGGTGAGGGGTTTAAAATGCCAAATAGAGGGATTTTTATTCTAACCTGAAGGCAATGAAGCTTCTTGAACAGAGGAGCAAGATGGTCAGATTTGCATTTTAGTAATATGAATTTGGACTGGAAAGTGGGAAAAGAGAGTCAGAGAGAACAATTTGAAGGCTATTGTAATAGTCTGGGCAAGAAGTGGTGAGAGACTGAAGTTAAGTGATGAAGATGCAAATAGAAAGAAGGGAACAGACACAATACATGCTGAGGAAGTAGAATTGATAAGACTTAGGAACGGATTGGAAATGGGCATAAGGGAAAGTGAAGAGTCAAGAATAACACACAGGCTGTGAACCTGAATGACCAGAAAAACAGACCAGTCAGAGATAGGATAAAGCTCAGAATGTCCTGGGCACCTTTTCCCACTTCCAGTGTCCAAGAGGAACTCAAGAGAAGCTATGATTAACTTCATATCCAGAGTGCCTACCAGGG